AGACGATGGGAAGAGAGCTATGGTTGACGTTGGTCTCAGGGGTGATGCGCACAGTATGGGCTCCGTTAGGGCCGAGTACCACTACACGAAAGCAGCCTGAAAACTTGGGAGCGAGTTTCTGGTCGCACGCACATTTACATACCTGCACTAGGTCCCCTAATTTATACTGGTATTGTGGGCCTGTATTCCCATTTCGGGCGTCGTAACTACGGACCTGCCTACCATGGGCTAGTTCGGTCATTTTCTATCTTTTTCGGGCTAGCCTGGGATAGCCTTTTCCATTAGCTCCGCGTACCGTTTAGCTTTGGCCTTAAGGGCCGACCGCTTGTCTCTCCCCCTGTTCTGGACACTTTCCGAGGCACTCAGGTTGTCAACGCGTGGGATACTATTCGTCCATAGCTGAAAAGGGGTGACTCTGGTGGATTCATGGGGGGTTATCCGATGAATCCCGATGATTTGGTACACTATCTCAGGCTAAGGACGCGTGTCATTGGCCGCTAAATTTCTGCGGAGGGTGGTCTTAATCATGCGGTTCGCTTTCTCGGCCAGTCGATTGGACAAGGAGACATGGGGAGCAGTGTGGCGGAGAATAACGCCACATTGCATTAATAATTCCTCTACGTTTGCTTTGAATTCACTGACAGACCTATCGTCGGTTAGAATCTCTTCCGTATCTAGATGGGTGTTGAGGAATCGGTCGGTTTACGTAGCTATCTCTGAGGCTTTATATGTCTTACAGTGGGTAGACTTCGATATACTTCGGGAAGTGATCGATTACTACTAAGAGAATGAAATACTCACAACGGTTGGGGCCAGCTCGGCCAGGTGGCACGTCAATGTCTGTCGTGTCCATACTTACTCGCTGAAAAGGGCGTTCTACCTCCGTCGGGATTATCGTGTTAGGTCCTCGGAGAGGTGCACGATCCGCAGCGCAGACTAGACTGTTAGCGACCACGTGTCTTACGCCGTCGCGAATATTTGACCAGAACCATCGATTCTGGTCGATGGTCGCTTCAGTGACCGTATCGTGAAATGAGCGATCTGCTTCTCATGCTCATATTTGGTCCAGTCATATCGCTGAAACAGGTGTGGAACCATCAACCATAATCCCGATCCGTCTGTTTTACGTTTTTCCAAATGATTGTTGATCCATCGATAATCTTGGGACCTCTCGGTGGCCCGACGCCTATCATGCTTAGTGAGATGGTCGAATGGTTGGCCCGCTAATTTAGCCAGTAATATTTTATCAGTCCATACTTCTGCTCTTCGGTATTTTTTGTCGTATTCGGGGCCGTCAGTTCTGGCGGCCTCGAATCCAAGTTCCATGGGGAGCTTGTTCGTCCGACACAGGGGGCACTTCCATGCCTTATTACTCATTCGATATCGAACACAGGCGCCATGCGCACGATTGACATACATGGCACACTTTACCCAGTCAGTGAAACCCGTTTCAAAGGGGTAGCAGTCTACTCCAAAGACCCGTGAAATACATGTGCAACAATAGCAGAACTTGTCTGGAAGATTGGCGAAAAACTCCAGATGTGGAAGAGGAGGGGAATCAGGCGAGTTGGGGGCAGTTATGTGACACCCGCGGCCTAGGCCCCGGGCATTTCGGTCACTGCGGCCGAAAAAGTCTGCCGCGGCCTCGGCCCATGAGGCCCAATCCGCGGCCTATTTTTTTAATAATTCTTTTTTACCCCTAAAAATATGCAAAAAAAAAATAAAAAAAATTAGGGGTGTAGGGCTTGGAAAACCCTACAATCTATGTTTTTTATTTTGAAATCTAACTTTGTTTAAAATTTAAAAAAAAATAAAAAACAAAATTTAATTTAAACAAAATATTTATAAAAAAAAAAAGAAAAGCAAGAAAATTTTTTGTCATTTTTTATCATGAGGGATATGGTCCCTCAGTTGTGCTGTATTTTTTTTAGAAATGAATTTCGGTTTTTTGCAGGTAAATTAGGTGTTAAAAAAAAAATGAACATGAAAAAATTGAAAACAAATAAACAAAAGAAGGGTTTGATTGATTCAATTTGATTGATTAATTGATTTTGTGTGTGTGTGTGTGTGTGAGTGTGTGTGTGAGTGTGTGTGTGTGTGTGTGTGTG